AGCACACACACAGCACACACAGCACACAGCACACACAGTACACAGCACACACATACAGCACACACACACAGCACACACATACAGAACACACACACACAGCACACACACAGCACACACACACAGAACACACACACAGCACACACACACAGCACACACACACACAGCACACACACACAGCACACACACACAGCACACACACACAGCACACACACACAGCACACATACACAGCACACACAGCACACATACACAGCACACACAGCACACACACAGCACACACATACAGCACACACACAGCACACACACACACACAGCACACACACACAGCACACACCACACACACAGCACACACCACACACACAGCACACACACACAGCACACACACAGCACACACACACAGCACACACACACACAGCACACACACACACAGCACACACACACAGCACACACATACAGCACACACACACAGCACACACACATCACACACACACACATCACACACATACAGCACACACACATCACACACATACAGCACACACATACAGCACGCACACACAGCACGCACACACAGCACACACATACAGCACACACACACAGCACACACACACATCACACACGCACACACACACAGAGTACACACAGCACACACACAGCATGTACACACACAGCACACACATACAGCACACACATACAGCACACACACACACAGCAAGACACACACAGCACACACACAGCACACACACAGCACACACATACAGCACACACATACAGCACACACACAGCACACACATACAGCACACACAGCACACACATACAGCACACACACACACATCACACACACATCGCACACACACAGCACACACATACAGCACACACACAGCACACACACACAGCACACACACAGCACACACACAGCACACACACAGCACACACACGCAGCACACAGCACACACATACAGCACACACACAGCACACACACACATACAGCACACATACAGCACACATACAGCACACATACAGCACACACCACACACACAGCACACACACAGCACACACACAGCACACACAGCACACACACACAGCACACACAACACACACACAGCACACACACACAGCACACACATACAGCACACACATACAGCACACACATACAGCACACACACACACAGCACACACATACAGCACACACATACAGCACACACACACAGCACACGCACACACAGCACACGCACACACAGCACACACACACACACAGCACACACACATCACACACACACATCACACACACACATCACACACACACAGCACACACACACACATCACACACACACAGCACACACACAGCACATACACACACAGCACACACATACAGCACACACATGCAGCACACACACAGCACACACACATACAGCACATATACAGCACACACACAGCACACACACAGCACACACACACAGCACACACACAGCACACACACACAGCACACACACACAGCACACACACAGCACACATACAGCACACACACAGCACACACACAGCGCACACATACAGCACACACACATACAGCACACACACAGCACACACAGCACACACACAGCACACACACAGCACACACACACAGCACACACACACACAGCACACACACATACAGCACACACACAGCACACACACACAGCACACACACTCAGCACACACACTCAGCACAGCACGCACACACACAGCACACACTCACAGCACACACACAGCACACACACAGCACACACACACACATCACACACGCACAGCACACACATCACACACACATCACACACAGCACACACACACAGTACACACAGCACACACACACACAGTACACACAGCACACACAGCACACACACACAGGACACACTCAGCACACACACAGTACACACAGCACACACACACATGACACACAGCGCACACACACACAGTACACACAGCACACACACACACATCACACACAGCACACACACACAGCACACACACAGCACACACACTCAGCACACACACTCAGCACAGCACGCACACACACAGCACACACTCACAGCACACACACAGCACACACACAGCACACACACACACATCACACACACACGCACAGCACACACATCACACACACATCACACACAGCACACACACACAGTACACACAGCACACACACATGACACACAGCGCACACGCAGCACACGCACAGTACACACAGCACACACACATGACACACACAGCACACACACACAGCACACACACATGACACACACAGCAGAGACACACACACACATGACACACGTACACACGTAGATACTTTGCATCTAAGTTTAATTTCACACTTCCACAGAGAGATACGCTTCTCACGCGAAGAGCGATACGTGTGTTTTATAATCACATTCGAGGGCCCTAACTAGTCATTCCAGTTTTCAAAATTATGTAAATTAATGTTGTCCAAGACACGGATCAGTGTTTGATGTTAATCGACAATGGGGAATACATCTCTGTTCGATCTCCTTCGCTTTGTTGTTGCTGCTATTGTTGTAGTAGCTGCCGCTGTTGTTGTCGTAGTAGCTGCTGTTGTTGTTGTAGGAGCTGTTGCTGTTGTTGTCGTAGTAGCTGCTGCTGTCGTAGTAGCTGCTGTTGTCGTAGTAGCTGCTGCTGCTGTTGTCGTAGTAGTAGTTGTCGGAGCTGTTGTTGTCGTAGTAGCTGCGGCTGCTGTTGTACGCTGTTGCACGTTGCAGCAGGTGAGTGCGCTTTGTCCGCGGGCAGCAGGCAGAGAAGGCGACAGCCGCTCGCTGCCGGCTGTAGCGTCTCACTCACGGAGGGGAGGGGGGGGGGGCAAACTACTCGGTGCACCGATGATGCGATTGGTGAATTGCTAGAGTGGTGTGTGTGAGTGTGTTTAGCACGAGACTATAAAAATATAACGCGATTGAGGGCCGCGATAGACTGGTTCTGCCCCGCGACTAAAATCAATGAATGCGTAGGGTGGGGGGGGGGGTAAATAATGATTTGTTTATTTCCTTGACCCACATTGAGACAATATCAGAATCGACGAATACGTCTGTGACACACACTCACGAGCAAAGACGCGTCGGCTTCCTATTGTTTGAAGCACGTCGGTACAAATCTCCGTATGCATCAGTCACTCTGTCGGTCGCTTTAGTTTTATTTTGTAATATTCACTTCCTTGTTTCTTTACAATCGCGCTCAGCAAAGTGGTGGTGGGGCGGGCGTGGTGGGCAACACCGCCCCGAAGCACCGCTTAGACGTTTGCCCGCGATGTAACACGCAGTGGGGACGCCACGTGTACACAAGTATACCCGCATTCACGACAAAAACAACAACAACAGCTACTACAACAATAGCAGCAACAGCAAAGCGCGCGTGTACACACAGTGCATCAAAGACGAATGCAAAAGACCATCACCTGCACCGTCCTGCCGGTGTGTGTCGCCTACGACAGACTGTTGTGGCGAGTTCACCCCTGCGGGCCCTGACACGGGTACACGACGAGCGGTGTGGCTAGAAACCACACAGGGCCGCCTTTGTTTCCCCAGCGAGGCACGGGAGCGGTTCAGATACACGCCACTGATGGTGGCCGTGAGCGGGAATCGAACTCGAGTTGCTGGGTTCGTTGCGCAGTTCGCGAACAGCGGCGCCACCTTCCTCCATTCACAAAGACACAAATATCCCCCGTATAGCTTCAACACACTTTTGGGACAAGTGCCCACAGTATACACAGCACGCGCAGTGTTTATGGAGATAACCCAAAAGACGGATGGATACACGTGGTTCCGTGGTCGGTTCCAGTGGACGCATAGGACATGCCCTTGCCACCAGAATGTGGAATTTCCACAACCATGTATTATTATTAATATTCGCAAGCGTTTTAGCGACCTTTGGCACACGGCCGTTGAGTGCTCTGTTTTGAAACGTGTGCGTGAAAGCGACACAATTAGGCAATGCCCCCACTTGTAATTTTCATTTAATCTCGCACAAGTTTACGCGTATACACACACACTGTATATATATTGCCGGGGATATGTTACAATGTATCTGCCGACATACTTAAGTGCCAAACAAAAGCGCACGTTTCAACACACCACAGAGTGACTAACCACTCACCACCCTTCAAGGCAGGTGGTTTGTCGCCTGGCCGTCTTGGTCTCCCCACTGTTGATGTGCAAACGACGTTCGATTTGAAACGAATGTACACGCGCGAATAACACGTGCACAACAGCACACAAAAGCGCAAAGATCCACCGTATAGGCTTCACCAGACTGCCGGGGTAAGTGCTGTTAGCGAGCATCTAAATTAAGGACAACACAGCACAGGAGGGGGTAGGTGGCCAACGCCACGCCAGGCCGCCTTTGTCTCCCCAATGCTGGTGTTTACATACACACCGCCCCAGGTACTCATTTAAGGCTAAGTCGACCGTGTTTAGATATTCGTCACACATGTTGTCCGTAGTCGGGAATCGAACTCGGTTCGCCGGGTTCGTAGCACAGCGTCGCGCTAACCACTACACTACCGCTACCCACACCACAAAAAGATCTCCCGTATAGTCTTAACAGGCTGTAAGGGGCAAGTGCTGTTAGCGAGCACCTACGAAGGTCAGCAAGGCGCACAGGGAGGTGGGTGGCCAGCACCACACACGCCCTGCCGCCTTTGTCTCCCTCGTGGCGATGTTTACACACCGCACCAGGTACTCATTTGAGGCTGAGTGGACCTGGGGGAGGCCCAGGACCGGTTCAGATAATCGTCACTGGTGTTGTCCGTGGCTGGGAATCGAACTCGGATCGCCGGGTTCGTAGCGCAGCGTCGCGCTAACCGCTACACTACCGCTCCCCGCACGACATCACACACACACATGCTTAACGTCTGTGTCACACCCCATCCACTCCCCCATCGTCTCCTCTTCCACCTCCTCCGTGTGACCCTCTTCTCTCTCTAAACGCTGCACATCCCCCCTCCACCCCCCTTCAACCTCAGGTGCCGACGGCAACGCCGAGAGCCTTCTGCTGCACAGTCCGTTCGCTCGCAAGCCGAAGCGCATCCGCACGGCGTTCTCGCCCTCGCAGCTGCTGCGTCTGGAGCACGCGTTCGAGAAGAACCACTACGTGGTGGGAGCCGAGCGCAAGCAGCTCGCCAGCAGTCTCAGCCTCAGCGAGACGCAGGTGCGAGCTCACGCGCGCGCCCACACAACAACAAACAACACCACCAACAACAAACAAACACCACCACCACCAACAACAAACAGCATCGACGAACAGAACAAGCTGACAGCCGTGACACAACGACGATAACAACAACAACAACATCACTGGCCGTGTTGGCATCGCAATGCTTGTGCCAAGCTGCAGGTGCACGTTGAGGCTGACGTTGATGGGGAAAATGTTTGTGGGGAGTATGAGATCCAGGGATTGTTTTTTTCTCACACGATGTGATTACTTTGTATTGCTTTTGTTTTACTCCTCGGAACGCTGCTTTGCATGGCTGGCTTGGAGTGGTACAGACTATCGGCGTAAGGCACTACCACTAGAGTGCAAGTTACGGATAGCAATAAGCTAAGTTTATATGTTTAAAATAAATACATTGATGCGTGGACTCACAACAAAGGCGAGATAGATGTGGCGTGCCAAAATAATTCCTGGAATAGTGATCTTGAATTTTTCCATTTAAAATTAATCACCGAGTCGACCAAAGAGAGGGAGGCCCAGCACTGGTTCATATAATATATAATATATGTAGTATATATTATATATATACAATCGTCACTGGTGTTGGCCGTGAGCGGGGAATCAGAACCCGGGTCGTAGCGCAGTGTGCGATAACCACTCCTTACTTGGTTACCACTCCCAACTTGCACGTATAAAGATCCTCCGTATAGCCTTAACAGACTGTTGGAGCAAGTGCTGTTAGCGAGCGCCTATGAAGGCCAGTACAGCACACGAGGGGGTGGGCGTCCAACACAACGCTCGGCCGCCTTTGTCTCCCCAGTGACAATCTTTATACAGTGCACCAGGCATTAACTCAAGGCTAAGTCGACCTAGGAGAGGCCCAGGACCGGTTTAAATATTCGCCACTCTTAATTGCCGAGAGCGGGAATCGAACTTGGGTCGCCGGGTTCGTCGCGTGGTGCGCTAACCCCTGTGCCACGTATACACACACACGTGTACACACAAACGTGTACACACACACGTGTACACACACACGTGTACACACAAACGTGTACACACACACGTGTACACACACACGTGTACACACACACGTGTACACACACACGTGTACACACAGACACACGTGTACACACACACACACGTGTACACACACGTGTACACACACACGTGCACCAGTAATCGATTCAGTAGCCACGTGCAACCCCACCTGCCCTCGGCTGTAGGCGGACATTTGTTTTCCATGTAAACAAACAACAACACTTTCCACTGCCTAGTTTAATCCACTGCTGGATTAAGCTATTCCCTAACCTTGTTGGGCGTGAACGGTTTGACCATACTTCACCAGGCTGGTTAGTGCGGGTTGATGACGCTGGAGGGGAACGGGCAGGACCCATCCAGATAACCACTCACCGCTGATGTTTAGCCCGGGCTGGGACTCTAACTCACGTGTACCCTGGTCCACCGCTCCGTTCGCGAACCATTTGCTCCAACCGCTCCATCCCGCATCTTGCACGGATATTTTATTTAAACCAGGCGAGAAGCCACCGTGACCACAAACGTCTCTATTGTTCAGGGGAGGCTCGGGGTACAAAGCAAAACAAGAGCCCAGGTGGACGAGGCAACCAACATCATGAACCTGACGTCACTTAGGGAAATTGCGGCACTGAAAGCACCACGTGCACGCGTGCAGCAGTAGGCTACACGCGTGCAAGCGCTGCACACGTGCACGCGCATGCTTATGCAACTGGTTGCATGTGCGTATATGTATGTTACCGTGCACACAAAAAAGACAAATATATAATATAAAATCCCCCGTATAGCCTCGTGCTGTTTGCGAGCACCTATGAAGACCGGCCGGCACGGCACACGAGTGGGTGGGTGGTCAGCACCACGCCTTTGTTTCCACAACGCTGGTGTTTACACACTGCACCAGGTACTCATTTAAGGCTGACTCGACTGTGAAGAGTCCCACACCCCGTTCAGGTGCAAATGCGGTGCAAACAACCATTCACACACACACACGCAGTACACACGTGCTTATTACGCATGCAACACAATGTACCCACCAGCAGCACACACTAAGTAATCACCGGAACGCCCAGGTTGACTGTGTAGCGCAGTGCTTCTTAAACGTGACTGCGGTCTCTCAATCGTTGCACAGACGTACAGCGTCGAAAACTATATCGGGGTTTTGATGGAACAAAGTAGTCGTACTCACGTGCCTGCGCTTAATTTATCTTTCGATGGTTTACCTTCGGGAAAAACAAAAATCTGTCCACGTCTCGCACCCCCCACGAAGGGCATTTGGCACACGCAGGGCGGCGCGTGCACCCCAGGTTAGGAGCCACTTCGTGCATCGCTCTGCCACGCGTGACCTGCACCGCTGCGCGCGTGGTAATGCGCACAAGGCGCGCTGCGGTACCGTAGCGGTTTAGCGCTACGAACCCGGCGACCCGGGTTCGATTCCCGCTCACGGCCAACACCGGTGACGATTATCTGAACCGGTCCTGGGCCTCCCCTAGGTCGACACAGCCTCAAGTGAGTACCCGGTGCGGTGTGTAAACATCGGCACCGGGGAGACAAAGGCGGTCGGGCGTGGTGCTGGCCACCCACCCCCTCGTGTACCGCTTTCGTAGGTGCTCGCTAACATCACTTGCCCCTACAGTCTGTTAAAGCTATACGGGGGTTCTTTGTCTTTGTGTACACGTGGCACGCGCCCGATTACGATTGTGTGTAAAATGCGCACTGCGTTCTACATTCACGTTCACACAATTGCTCTACGCACACACATATATATATACGTACGCATCGTACGTGTTTTGTATTACTTTGAGTCAGTATACCGGTGTATTCTAGAAGGATTGATCCATCATTGCATTTGTTTTATAGTATCGTGTAGTGTACCGCAGTGTGATGATGTGTGGGTCAATATAACGGTGTATTTACGCCATCGACGATTACGACATTGCTATTGAAATGCATCTCCTGCGCCCTCTGTCTTTTGCGCTGGCCGCAAAGTTTCGTTTGAATCTCCACAGCTGGACCCTAACCGATGCTTTTAGCGATCCTAAAGACTGCATGCGAAATGCAGCATGCGCGTATATGCACGTGTTGATACGTGCGGAAGCATGCACGTGTTAAATACGAGACAGCGTAACAGGATGAACGGTATAGCCGGTTCAGTGGTTACAATCGACAGTATTGTGTTATGCAGATTGAATTAGTGGGGGTGTTTCCGTGGCGCGGTGGTGAACTATGGTCAAATAACCCCCCCAAACAACAAAACAACGGCCTGGGGAAGGCCTTCATCCAGTGATCTAGCGCGATATTGACAAAGTGCCGAACTCGTTTTAGTAATCATTTCTATTCTGTTATTGCGCATACAACTAACGTGCAATTAATAGCACGTGGAGATGTCGGTGATTTTAAAATTACGTGAAAAATTAAGTCGTTCGATGCGTACGTTTTTATTGACATGCAGTATATACATGTATACCGTACTGTAGTTCTTATCGCACCTAAATTGAGTGGCATCCCTTCGCTTGCATTGCATAACATTACTTTTGTGTATGCATGCATGCACACGTGTGTGGTTGTATGTATGTATGCACAGGGGCGGGGCCAGGGGGGTGACAGGTTAGAAAATTGTCACCCCCGAAAAAAAATAAAAAATCGAAAAATCTGAAACATTCTGCGTATAAGTGTACGACACTCGGTCTGGCGGACTCCGTGCAACTGCATTGTCAGAGTGTGTCGCCAACCGATGGCGTGGGGTATAGCCGATTTCTCATTCAATCATTCTTGAAATAAAAATTTGTTGAATGTCACCCCGGGCTGGAAATCCTGGCTCCGCCCCTGTGTATGCATATTTTGGTGCCACTCGCTAACAGCACTTGTCCCAACAGTCTGTTTAGGCTATACGGGGGATCTTTGTCTTTGTTGGCTGTAGGTATGAATGTATGCACGTTGTGTGTGTGTATGTAGTGGGGGGGGGGGGCGGTAGTGTAGCGGTTACCGCGCTGCGCTATGAATCTGGCCATCCAAGTTCGATTCCCACTCACGGCCAATACCAGTGACGATTATCTGAACCGGTCTTGGGCCTCCCCTAGGTATATTCAGCGTCGATTGGGTACCTGGTGCGATGCGTAAACATAGGGAGACAAAGGCGGCCGGGCGTGGTACTTGCCACCCACCCCCTCGTGTGCCTTGTCGGCCATCATAGGTGCTCGCTATCAGCACTTGCCCCAACAGTCTGCCAAGGCTATAAGGGTGATCTTTATCTGTGTGTGTACGTATATTAAATAAATTAATAACGATACGAGTTGGGAACCCGGCAACCCCCTCCCCCCCACAGATGATGAACAACCTACAATTGCTTGAACGCGTGATAATAAGATGATAGCCACTTGGTGGCAGTGTACATAAATTACCTCTGCAGACTACAGAATGCGACGTTGCACATAGGGAATGGATGTGCAACGTACTCATGCGCATAATGTAGTTGCCAATTTAATTTCGCGTTAATCTGTAATTCGTATTCCCTTTTTTTTGGTGGGGCGGGGGAGGGGGTGGTTAAATCATAGCTATCACAGGCGCGGTAGTGTTTGTTATAAAAATATAGTGTTATACATAGTGTTTGAAATATACTGCCTTCAGCTCGGTATCCAAGCGGCATTCATTTACTCCGCCCGCTAATCATCATCGCGCGCCACTACGTGCGCCACATCGAGACATCGTATTAGCAGTCTTAATAACATAGGAGCCTCTTCAATGTAAATTTTTCAAGGCAATTACCTCCTTCCGCTCGAACTCGCTAAGCGTTAAATGGAGAATTACCAAATCGTTAGTAGGTTAAATCGGAAAACGTGTAATATAATTACCCATTGTTTAATATCGCTCTCTTGTATATACGTACGCGCGTGTGTGCATACATGTTGGAGCGGTAGTGTAGTGGTTAGCGCGCTAACGGAATAGTCTAAACACCGCCACTACAGAGA